ACATTGCAACAAGAGAAGGAAGCAAAAGCAATTGAAGCAATTGCAGCTAAAGCAGAGGCGGCACTAAAGAGAAAGAAGAACATGAAGCAAAGAGAGCAGAGGCGGCACTGAAGAGGAAGGAAGATCAAGAAGCAAAGAGAGCAGAGGCAGCACTGAAGAGGAAGGAAGATCAAGAAGCAAAGAGAGCAGAGGCGGCACTGAAGAGGAAGGAAGATCAAGAAGCAAAGAGAGCAGAGGCAGCACTGAAGAGGAAGGAAGGTCAAGAAGCAAAGAGGAAATAGCAATAAGAGGACAAGAGAAGAAGAGCTGAGCAGAAGAAGCAAGAAGGGCCAAGTGGACATGTGCCCAAGAAGCAGAAAAGAGTCAATATGTTTGATGAGTTTAGATGAATCAGTGTTGTTGCGCTTGCAGTCATCAGATTTTTTGTCAAAAACTTCAAACTAGGTGTTTGAAACTATTCAAATGTACCAGCCATTCAGTGTTTGAAACTATTCAAATGTACCAGCCATTCTGTGTTTGAAACTATTCAATGTAGTTCAATCATTGGCTCATTCAGTTAACTGCATTTTTGAACTGAGTGCTTCAGTGTTTAGTAGCTGAATTTTTTGAAGTTAGAGCTCAGCTGAATGTTTTGACTAAAATTTATGCAATTTGATTGTTTGAGTTCATACCTTGATTGAAAACTAGGTTTAGTGCATTGTAACTAGGTGTAGTGCAAATGAATTGTAACTAGGTGTTTTGACTGACCTGAATGTAACTAGGTGTAGTGCATTGTAACTAGCTGTGGTACTAACCTGGATGTTTTGACTGAATTGTAACTAGGTGTAGTACTAACCTGTAGTGAAAATGAATTTTTGATTGAAAAAAAAAACAAAAAAAGGTTGGCCTGGGTCTCGAACCCAGGCCTGTGGTATTAAGTGATGCGTGCAATGCCAGTGGGATAGTACTAGTGGTCTAACCAAATGCTACTTAACAGTCATCTTATTATTTCGTTGTGGCCCCCAGGTCCAGCTTTCGTTGCACATGATGTACGATGAGCGTGCGCTGCGTTGTCTGCATGCCGTTTTAGTTTCTCCTCCTCTGTCTTTAAGCCCACCCACCCGCCGCTCTCCCCTCTCCACTCTCCACTCGCCAAAGTCCACCCGTGTCGCCTCGGTTTCTGTTCGTTCCACAGTCAAGAAAACCGTCGCAGCCGACCACCACACAGTCGCCGACGACATGGACAACAGCCCCGCCTGGCAGAGGGTCATCAATGACCTCGCCGGCGACGACAAGGCCATGCACGCGGACCTGAAGGAGATCGGGCAGTGGTTCCCTAGCATTGGGATGCTGCATCACCACGCGCGTGGCCTCCTCAAGGTCTTGACCGTCGATAAGAAGCAGCGTGCCATCACCGACCCCAAAGGTATCCCTCCTGCGCTCATCCTCCGCTTTGGGATGCAGGAGACGCGCTCCGACGACCCGAGGCAGCGTGCCCGGTGGTGGATGTACCGGTCCGCCACCGCGCCGCAGCAGCCGGATCCGCTCCGCGTTGGCTCACGAATGGAGCGTGTCGACAACGTCGTCTTGGCCGTCCCCGCACCTATCAACACGGCCTACTGGGACCGCTTCCAGCCCGATCAGTTGACGCGCACTCTTTCCCGGAGCTAAAATGGATAGATCGGGCAGAGAAGGTGGTGGCGACGGCGACGTACCATGCAACGGCGGCGAGGCATGCTCCTCACGCCGGGAGGAAGAGAGAGGGATGTCACGCAGGCCCCTACCAAATGGAGCAGACGGCGGCGGCTCAACGTCCAACGACGAGCTCATGGCCGCCGTCGCCACACTCGGCCACGCCGGTGAGCTTGAGGTCACACCTCGGCAGCGACGACGAACAGGGAGCGCAGCAGAGCAGGGGAGAGGAGAGCGACTTGGTCTGGTCCGACCAGGTGGATGGAACGGTCCGACCAGGTGGGCTGCTGTTTTATTCCCTGGCGATTTTGCAAAAAAAAATCCCCGCATTCCCCCGAATCGACCGGCCAGACCAGGTGCTGATGAGTTGCCGATCAACGCCCGCTGGACATGCGAGTCAACAGCCAAATCAGCGCGTACGTACAAGAAACCGTATATTGGACCATAGATGGCCACCAGAGACAAATTCAGTTACTGTATTTAGGAAATTTGTAAGTACGAGGACTAAATTGGCCAACTCGACGAGTATGAATACCTCTAGTGAATTTTTCTCTAGTTCTTTTGTTAGGTACGTTTTCTGCATGGTTCTAGTATCGTTTGCGCGAGGACGCCTACTGCGCGAACTGACTGCGTGGTTCTAGAATTGTTCGCGCCAGGACGCCCACTGCGCGAACTGACTGCATGGTTCTAGTATCGTTCGCGCCAGGACGCCTACTGCATGAACTGAGTCATCTATGACATGGCGCAGGTGCACATTGAACGGCTGGATGGGAGTTCGCGCCAGGTGACAAACCACCTGACGTTCACTCCCTATGCTTTAGGTAGTTTATTTACTTACGGGTGAAGGCAATTTTTTTTCCATAAGATTACTTTACCTCCTCACTTATTTGAGGTTGGTTTACCTTAACCCACTCACCCATAAAACCAGTTATTCTACTTCTGAACTATCTAAAACCATATAAATAAGCCGCTAAGATGTTATTGAAGGTGGTTTTTCCTACGTGTCATTATATGTGGTCTGTCACATGGCAATAATATTTTAAATATATTTCTAATCTCATAACCGAACAACATTTTAAAAAATATTTTTTGTTTAATAGTGAGAAGGACTCGTGATTTCTAGAGAAGATTGATATTTTTCTTTTGATGAGAATAAATGTTTAATCATGTTGTATATTACTACATCTGTTAGGTGAAATCTTGTCCCCTTCCTGAACTAGGTTGTAAGAGCAATTCAACAGTTCTCAGAGAAAAAAAAACTGTCATTTGATGCATGAGAGGGCGAAAAGCTTGCTCCAGCTCTTACTCCATCCTCTCTTTTACATGCATCAAATCCTCCTCTCCATCTACTAACATCAAATCCTCCTGTCCATCTACTAACATATTATAACCCACCAACTTAGTTTTTATCGACCAACCGGGTTACCAGGAACATATTGGATGCATGAACAGATAAACGTTAGAACAGTAAGTTAAAACTGTCCAGAAAACTCTTTCAGAACAATTGAGCAGAATCTTGACGTATGGGCTTAAAAGTGTTATTATGAGTAGCCGTCTAGCATGGAAGATGGGAATAGAAACATTTGGACCAAAAGCAGGACAACCTCATTCTCTCATGCAAAGCTCCACAAAACAAGTAAGATTTCACAAAGACAAAGCAAAGCTCCCACGAAACATGTAAGATTTCAGTGTCAATACAATATGCCACTTACACCAATCTAGGCATTTCAGGTAACAGAGCAAACATAAAATACTTCCACACTATGCTAGGCATTGCATCGCAGTCCTGACCTAGGCCTTTATTATGCTTCTTTTCCCTCTCCATCTTCAGAGAAAGCTGTGGAACAAATCAGTAAAATGTTGGGTCAGTGTGGTTAAACCAACAAAAAAAAGGCTCGTCCATCCCATTTGTATGATGCAAAACCAGTGGTATCTCCAAAAATGGAAAAATAAAATGTCAGAACATAAGAAAAACAATGATCTAAAAAACAGTGGATTGAATGTGGCATACCAACATGAAAATATTATCCCACTATTTCAACCTATGTTAAGGGTACTATAGTTGTCTAGAAACAGTCCATTTACTTGCAGAGTGCTAGAAATGCACAAACAATTTCATAACATTGCATAAGGTGTCAACTTTGAAATACCAGTTACACCGGCAAGCTGACTTGCTACCACATTTAAAATGTTTAAGCAAAAAAACACAAATGTTTTAAAAAGTGGTAGAGAAAGCGCTCCAGCTCCACCTAGCAACTAGACCACTGCCTAGCATTTCTAGGCATTTCGCAAAAAAAAAAAAGAGAGAGAGCCACGTGTATATATACTTTCATTATACACTGTAAAATTTTAAATTTGACAAGGATGAGTACTTCAATGAGTCAGATATTTACTAGACACAGTTTCCATAAATCTCCCACTTATCCTCTTCACTACCCACTGTTCCTGTCCTCCAAAGTACTCCCTCCGTTCCAAAATAGATGACCCAACTTTGTCCTAACTTTAGTACAAAGTTGGGTCATCTGTTTTGA